GCTGGAAGGGCTTGGGGGAGGGAACAGAGGAGAGGAATAGAGAGCTCCAAAGAGAAAAGCGGGGCAAGACTGGCACCAGGAGGGCAGCACTGGGGGAGAGACAGAGAGCAGAGACATCAGCACAGAAGGATGGCTCCCAAGGCCCGGGCCATGGACCAGCCGCACAGAACGGCCATCCGGGGACATGGTGCCCCAGGAGCCTGAACATCTCGCCTTTCCGGAGGCGCGAGCAGGGGAACCTCCTCGTCTGCTTTCCTCTCCCTGGTTATTCGTCTTCCTGTAAAATGACTTAATCCATCGCCATTCTGTCCCCAGCAAGGTCCCTTTCCCTGGCACCTGGAAGGGGTGGGCGGGCAGAGAGGTGCTGCCCTAGCAGGAGGGCACTCGGCCACTGTGCCCAGCTGGGCCACCCGGAACGTAATTTGCATTCCCTGCTCGGGGAAGCTGCTTATGAGGCTTCCCACCAGAGGATTACCGAGAAGAAACACAGCAATAAAAAAGCTTAGGAGATTAATCAGATGAAAACATTAGCAAAAACACATCCGTTCAGAAAGGTTTTCTGTAAAAGAACAACAACAGAAGAATGGGCTGAAAAAATGAAGCCTTTTGAATAAAAGCCTCCCTTTAATAAAGAGCATTCGGCATTCTTGTTACTAATGATGATAATGTTAGTCCTTAGCAGTTGGGTAAGAGCTTCCAATATGCCAATTATCTGATAAATATCCAGCTCTGGGGGAAAGGCCAGTCTCCTTGCTGGCTCAGAGGCAGGGAGAGCTCCCCGCCCCGCCCTCCGGGCATCCCAGCCACCGGCAGGTGGGAGGGTGCCTGGGCCGCCCGCAGTGGCCTGATGACTCAGGGTCTATGGGGGTTCCCTTTATGAGAAAAATTGAGATATGATTCACATGCCACAAATTTCATCCTGTTAAAGTGTACAGTTCAGCGGTTTTAAGTATATTTACAGAACTGTGCAACCATCACCACCATCTAATTCCAGAATATTTTCGTCGTCCCCAAGAACAACTCCGGCACCTACTCCCCCCTCCCTGCAGCCCCTGACCACCACAGTCTGTCTTTTCTGTCCCTATAGATGTGCCTGCTCTGGACATGTCATCAGTTCACGAGTGGAATCCTGTTCTGTGTGGCTCCTTTCACTTAGCGCATGTCTGCCGCCCCGCCTCCCCGCCCTGCCCCCCCAGGTCGCAGCCTGTGTCAGTACTTCATTCTCTTTAAGGCTGAACCGTATGGTTATACTACATTTTGTTCATCCATATCCATCTGCTGATGGACTTGGGGTGGTTTCTCTTTACTCATTAGGGGCTACTGGTGTGGTCTGACCCCGTCCCCTCAGTGAGCTGGAGAAGTGGGGCCTCATCCCTGAGGTACCAGGGATGGACCAAGGAGGCTGCGCAGCTTCCAGGATCCGAATGGCCAAGGGAGAGAGCAGTGTGTGCACATGGAGCTCCCGGCACCCGGGGAGGTCGCAGGAGGAGCTGTGCCCCAGAGGCCTTGGGTCCCCTCCCTCCGGCACTGACTGGACACTTCCTCCGGCTGCGGACAGCCACACACACAGCCTCCGCTCTGCTCCGTGCAGAGCAGTTTAATCTGCCTCATTTGGTTTCAGGGTAAGGCTGGGTGTGCAGAGACTAAAATTCAAAAATCCCTGGGCAGAAGGACAACGCTCTCTGGAGTAGCTGATGGAGCCCCCCCCCCCGCCCCCCCGCATTGCCAGACACACAAATGTTGGCCCAGGTGTGCTGCTGGCCCGCCTCTGGGGTGGGTGAGTGCACCCAGACCGAGGCCAAAGGGAAGGGTCACAGGAGGCCTCCCTGGATCTCCATGACTCAGAGCCGCCCCGGACGCTGGCAGGAAGGAGCGGACGGCTCTCCTTTGCCTGCCAAACATCCGGGGCTGGCGGCGAGTCCCGGCTGGAGGATGGCACCCGGTTAGTACCAGGAGGGCACGGAGTCCTCCCGGGGCTGTGGTGACAACGCAGGGTTTCAAACAGATGAAGGGAGGACCCGCTGCTTCTGGGAGCTCTTTGTGGCCACAGCCCTGCTCACCGCAGGCACATCCGACTAGATGGGCCCTATCTCACTGCGAAGGACACCTCGGCCTGCTGGGGCGCCAGGCACTGTGGAGCCATTTGGATATAAAAACAAGCAGGGATTTCTGTCTCAAAAATCCTGGTTTTAGAGCAAGTTGGGATATGCTTGGACCAGGCTGGGGAATCTAGTGCTGAGGAGGAAAGAATGCCGTGCTGTGGGCATGTTCCCACTCGAAGCCACGTGCTCCCTGCGCTGGGCTGGGATGACCTGTGGTGGGACTCCCGTGCGCAATGGGGGCGTGGGGGGGCGAGCCTCTGGGAAAGGGGGCCGGGCTCGGCTCCAGGTCCTCCTGACTCACCTCCCAAAAAAGGAGGACGAGCGGGCACGTGGGCCAGTGGGTGTGGGGTGGCTTGATGACAGTCCAGTAGCCCCTGAGGCCCCTCTCTTTCCGGTCCCCTGCCTTCCCCTTCTTGTGCTCTTCCCATCCCCCCAGATGACTGCCAGAGTGTAGACAGCATGTGGCCGGTGGCTCTCCCGGGCACGAGAAACACCAGGAGGACACTCACCTCCCAGGGCGTGCTCGGTCATACTGAGGCACAAGGACTCCAGCCTGTTGTTGATGTCAGGTTCAGTCACGGGAAGCTGGAATTCTGCAGGGGGCAAAGGGTTATGTTGGTGACGGGGGTTCTAAGAACAAAGAGAAAGTGTGCACAGTGCCCCTGGCTCCACCTGCCAGGGTGAGGGTCTGCTGGGCCTCCTGGGAGGACCTGGGGGGACTGTCGGGGCCAGCACGGAGGCCAGGTTACACTTGGGTTCAACCAACCTCCGAGGTCACACTCCCTGAGTCCACTGTGAATGTGGGCGGCTGGAAGAAAAGTGGTGACTAAGAATAGCTGCTCAGAGTCATAGTCTGTCAGTCCTCTGCTCAGAACCAGCTAGCGCCTTCCCATCAGAGGCAACCCAACCCCTGCCATGGCCTGCAGGCCCCACACAGTCTGGCTCCTTGTTAGCTCCTGCCCTGGTAGACTCTCTTCTCCTCCAGTCTACCCCAGGTCCTCCTCGGCCCCAGGGCCTTTGCACTGCTGTTCCCTCTGCCCAGAATGTTGGGCCTGGATGTCTCCACGGCTCTCCCTCTCCCTGCCATGTGGTCTCTTGCTCTACTGTCTCCTCAGAAAGGACCTTCTGTTCATTGTATGTGAACAGGCCTTTTCGGCCCCATCCCTTTCTTCTGCTTTCCTTCACTGCATAGATGGCACAGCACCTGACATATGCATTTATCTGCTGCCTCCCCAGTTGAAAGTTCGCTTCATTGGAACAGGACGCGGCTCTGCTCCCCGTGCCTACCCCAGGCCCAGCAGGTGCATGTCTGCTTCCTTCTGAGCAGCAGGAAATGGGAACCACAGCGTGGAAAGCACCTCTTCTGCGCCTGAGCCTGCGCCGGGCGCCAGGTTCCCAGGTGGGGCTCCGTGAAGCTGAGTGACCCGCCGAGGTTAGCCAGCGGACACAGAGCTGGGCCAGGAACCCACATGGGACGGAACCCAGAGCCCGCGCTCTCCCTGCCAACACAGCCTTGGGCTGAGATGTCTGCTCTGCAGACCCTCCCTGTCTCCCCAGGCTCCAGACCCTGGGGCCTTCCTCCTCGGTCCTACTGGGGCCCCTGCGGTCAGCCTCTCCCCGGCCCCTGATCCTGTGGAGCTCCTGAGCGTCCTTGACTAGCTTAAAAGTGCCTTGCAGACAGCGACGATGCTTTCATCGTCCTCGGAATCTCCCATAATACCCCGGCACGGCTTTCTGCACACCTCGTCCATGCCCACTGAGGGATCAGAAATGGAGCAAGACACAGCAACTCTGACAGCTAAGACCTGAAGTCCTAGAGCGGGGAGGCAGGAGAAACATCAGCCAGGGGGGGGCGGTGTTCTGTGCCTGGGGAGTCTCAGCACTGCAGCTGCCTCCACACGTGACCCTGGGAAGCTGTTCTCTTCTTGGGGCCTTAGCTCTTCTCCCCGTAAAGATCCCGCCTGTGTCCCAAACTTAAGGCCATGTCCTTGCTCCTTCACATCTCCACCAGGGGGCGCTCAGGGCCTGGGCCGGGGATTACAAATGCATTGGTGGTTTGGTGGGATGGGAAGTTGAAACCAACGGCTAAACCAAAGTACGTATTTGTTTTCCTTGGTTGGCTGTACATTTAAATACCCTTTGCAATCTGGGTTCCCCATGACCAGCTCATTCAGAGGCAGATGTCATTTCCGTTACGTAAACTTCGCAAAGAGAAGGTTGGCAGAACGGACCGATGCAGAAAGCACTGGGGAGCAGAGAGGGTTCTTTCTGACACAAGTGCCAGCATCAGTGGAACTTCTGTGCCAGATCAGGAGGCCAATGGGGCTTCCAGGGCAACTGAGAGGGGAAAATGCAAGGGTCTCCCCCGCCTCCTACGCTGGCTGCTCTCAACGTGGGGCCGGGGCACTTAGACAATCCAGGGGGGAGAGTATGTTAGCATTTCCATCCATTCATGTGAAAATCATATGCATGCAAAAATTAGCAGCCTTCAGGGTGTGAAATCTCTAAAAGAGAAACACAGTTTTATATATAGCCAGTTAGCAAATATGAAAAAAACACACCCTCAGCAATTATAGCCATCCATATGCTCATTGTAAAATTTAGTTTACTCTCTAGCACTTCCCTTTAAACAAACACTGTGGAGAGATTTGGATAAATAAAGATGCTCGACATTTGGAGAGAAGTGTCTCAGCTGCAGGATTTCTTGCCAACACGCAGCAAAATGACATTTTCCAAGCCTGGGATTGCGTGTTCCAAAAAGGGGGCTGAGAAGTGCAGGGCTCTACGCTCCAGAATCTCCAAACCTCCGTGGCTGCTCTTTTAGGCGGAGAGTGGGCGTGCTTGCTCTTCCTCCTCCAGCTCCTCCCGCCGGCGCGCCGGGGAGTCATGACCCCCCCTCCATTCTGAGAATGGCTCTGAAAAGCTCCAAGTCTTGGGAGAAACACATATGTTCATATTCCCGAGTTTCCTAATAGTGTGACTTCTTAATTGGGTATTTGATAAAAACAGATCTGCGGCATCTCTTTGCACATATAAGACAGGTGGGTACCAGCCTCCGTCGCAGGCTAGGA